GGCGTAAAATAGTGCTTACGTTCACGAATGATTATGTCACGCATGGTATTCATATAAAGATTTTTTCTCATGAAACGCACGTATCATTCGAATAAAGTGAAAAAAGTTTCGCTACACATATATAACCATTTATATTCATATCAACATCATGGTTGTTCCTATGATGAGTTGGACCCTTCGGACGCACCCGGTATTGACTTGTGCTACGATCAAAAGTGATCCAAACGTGTTCCGAAACATAAAGTTGCAGTTAACTATTTGCACAGCTTGGTAACTCATTAATCCAATTGATGTCTTTGTTGGTAGGTTAAAGTGGGGTCACATCAACTGCCAGTTGCCCAAAGATGGCAAGGAATTGGAATGTTGACTGCTGCCATGTCAATGAGGGCTATTGCAGGAGATGATGGCTGTCAGCCAAAGACTATCACCCTACTGCCAGAAAACATCAGCGTTTAAGTCGACCACAAGTGACAGCTCCTACTCAGGTTACAACCATTCTCAGATTCATAAGCCACCCGTCATATCAAGCACATTTGGCGGTGATTCATGGTATGGGGTGTATCTTATTTCACTGTGAACGGGATCTTGTGGCGATCAGACAACAACAATTGTTGAGCTACATTTCCATGGCCATCCTCTGAACATAAGGCCTGTCTTCATGGGCGACAATACCAGGCCACATACACACACCATTGGTGACAGCTCTACGACCAGACAGGAATCCAAATCTCAATCCCATAGAGACATGTTTGAGACATTATGGGTGGCAGAATACGCCTGAGACATCATCCAGTATAAATTTGTGTATTGGACAAGCCCTCCACCAAGAATGGCACAAATCCTCAGCGTCAAATCTACGGATGATACAGTCAGTGAGGAGGAGGTTCAAGGATGTTATTGCAGTTGGCGGAGGTTACATCTGAAGTTGACACAATGACACTATTGGTACTTATGGAATTACTTTAGGACTGTATGTGAGTATCTTGAAAATACCGCATTTGCTAACATAATATCATAGCATACACCATACCTCTTTTATCAATTCTACAAAATGAGTAAACTTTTGCTGTTTTCTTCTATGCATTGACTGCAGTATTTAGTTCATTTGCGCGTAGAATTGTCGTTTAATTATTCCTTGAGGGTCGGTTTATCCAGATCGTAAGTTAAATGGAGGTTTAGATAAGTTCCTTAGCTATGATCACTGAAAATACACTGATGCTATGAAACATACGATATGTTGGGATACGTTTTTCCATATGTATATGTTTAATATATACAAATAAGGACATGGGTTATGATTTGTTGGTATCACTTCATTATTGAATTTGGTGTAGGAAATTATTTTGAAACTGAGCATACATAAATTGAAGATAAACGGCCCCGTTATCTCAAGTGTAATACAGGTCACACATCACGATAAGGGGAGTAATTGTAAAACAGGTGAGACTTGTGCCTTGATGCTGAGCGGAGGAAGGTCTGTGTGATTCTCCTTCCACCAGACCTGTACATAGTCAACCATGGGTGCAACGATTTATGACATTGTGGTGGTCACAACAGTGATTGCTATTGGGGCTGGATTGAAAATAGAGATTGGTCAAAATCACTCTTCCATTGTTCCAAAATTATCCGACAGGAATGCCCTAGATATAGCTGAACACCCAGCACAGCATCCGAGCCTCTTGGACGACACTGTCTGGAGAGAGAACAACAATGTCAGTGAACGGCACTCAGACGTGGAGACACTGATTCCCACTGTGCCTCCTGAAGTCGACGATCCTGGCTTGTTCGCACTGATGGGTTTTGTCAACAGCATCGAGAGGGTGAGTGGAGGAGGTGACTTGCTACAGTCTCTCATTATCACACTGGATGGTGTCAATGCCGACCAGTTGAAGGGGATAACTTCACTCTTGCCACTTATCACCGCTAATCCTGTACACAAAAATGGAGGTTTCCTTAAGCTTCTGTCCGTTCTTACTTCCACCCCTGATGGAGAACGGCTTGTTGATCGCGGTATTCAACTCCTCAGTAATACCACTTATGATGAGATTCAAGATGTCAGCAGTTTTGTCCCGATCATCTCCCTGAAGGCTAACTTTAGTGAAGGAGCACTGATTCTGGATGACTTCCTGAAAGGCAACACAAGTCAGGAGATACTGCAAGGAGTACTTGATGCCAACTCTAGTGTTGCTGTTATGAAGACGTTACCAGCAGTGTCTGAGCTGCTGGAGACTGGATCAGTCAGTGGTATGATTGAGGACTTATTGTCCCCAGGAGGAACTGCTAATCAAGTGTTGATGGAATTTATAGACACAGTTGGCGGTCAGAACTTGGTTAATTTAGCTAACACGGTGCTGCCAATACTAGCTCCAGTTCTTTCGGTTCCTGGTGGAATATTCAGCAACGCCTCTGCCAATTACACAATGGCTCTCCTTAAAGGGGTAGCCCATAATCTGCAAAATGTGACTGTGCAAAAGGAGTTTGGAGTAGTGGCTGCACAACAAATAGTTTCATTAATGAACAAAGCAATACATCTTCTTTCTCCGTTTGCAATTTACCCTGACATATACAACCTGACTGTTGGGGAGACAGTTGTAGAGGCCGTGGTTTCTCTCCTAGCAAATCTAAATACAACTGCCGTTCGTGTAGTTCTTGGTAATTCCTCCTTGTTAGATGGAGTTGCAGATCTAGCATCACATGCACAATCCCTTGATGAGTTAGAGAAATACGTCCTTAAGTCCGCACCCCATTTTATACAAGAAGCCAGCCTTAAGATTCTGGGCACTGTTGTAGACAAACCGGAAATACTTATGAACCTAACTGTGTCGAGGCCGATTGAAGCTGTGTTTGAAGTTATAGATGCCATTAACGTTACTAAGATACAAGACCGCTTAGGAAATACTACATTCACTGACTATATAGTCCGTGTCGTGTCTACACTGAAGTCCCCAGAAACTACGGAGGAGTATTTCATTCAACTTATCCAGGGACCGAGGGTGAAGAAACTTGTGGGGGAATTCCTTGGCAGTGAGTTCAGCTCATTGCTACAATACTTGTACAAAGTCGTGTCATCGTTTGAAGATGATCTGGACATCACAAACCTTAACACTGTCGCAGCCCCTAGACACACTGGAGGCAATTATCGAAAACATCAACGACACCAAACTTGAGCATATGCTTGGTAACTCACCAGTGTCCGACAGGATTATGTCTATAGTCTCACGTCTACGATCTCCCGGACTTGGCACGGGTGTGAACCCACAGTGCGCGGCAGACCTCAATGAATACATCCATGGACTCACAAGACTGGACATGTGGGCTCTCAAAAGTATGTGCTGTTAAATAGTAATTGCTATTGTGCATTTCCTATTCTATCATTTGGGTCCACAAATTTTGTTTCGCATGTTTGTGATTTTATTGTATTCGTATATATAATTTACATGGTATATATTCTGCTAGATACACACTGCGTGATCACATGACTTGGGAAGTTAGCTGTCAGTGTTACATAGCCTACTCTTTTAAAACTGAAAGCGGGACAAAGTGTCTATCAGCTAACTATGATTAGCTTTCATAAGTGTGGTGCTTTGAGGGGCGATGGGGTAGCTTAGTGGTTAGAGCATTCCTGGGTTCGATTCCCCACATGGGTAAAATGTTTGAAGCCCATGGCTGGTGTCTTAAGCTGGAATATTGCTGGAATATTGCTAATAGCGGCGTAAAACACACTTACTCACTACTTCGCCAGAACACAGAGCGGTCATGAGTGAGAGATAACAGCATATTTAAGTTTTAGTGTAAACTGTGTAGCCGGGTTTTTAGACCAGAAGAGCTTCATATAGCTTCGACTGGGTACATGTTTACACAACACTCAGGGTTTTTCAGATAACACTGATGTTTTTGTGCTAACGTGTTCAGCAACCTCGGCCCACTGACCTCAGCGATGACCTGTTTAACAGTATACATAATTATAACATTGTAGAGGCCGAACTACGACCAGGAGTCGCGTGGTCAGTGTCGCAATCTCAGTGGTGTGATAACTGACACTGTGTCATAATGGGTGTAATTAAGTTGTCATGAAGATGTGTGTCCTGTCAGATCAGAGATAATGAACGCTGATGTATCACGTTCTTCGTCTTAGTTTCAGTTACAGTAAACTCCCACCTGGAACTTTACTGACATAACACAATAAGAAATGTTTTCCGATTTCTTGTTCAAAATGAACAATAAACATTTTCAATTTCTCTCATATTGCATATTATTACATGCAAAATATATCTGGATTTACAATGACTAGCACAAGCTGCTTTAGAGTCAAGATGGAAGCAGTCACTCACCTCCTGTCAATTGTTAGGCCGTTGGAGCATTACGTCCATACTAAGACGTATACACAGCCATAGTCACAAACTACAGCTGGGGACACATCTACCCATATCAAGGACATATTATTGCTACCGATTAACTAGCATTAAACGGATTTTCTGTTCGTACCGAATGATATTTTAGGACCTGTGCCATCTGCATTAATGATGTTTCAGCGTAGATTTAGTCACGAGTATGTAGTTATATCAAAGCATATCATCATGTGACGGCGGTATTTGGAGTGTTCAGTTGTCTGTCTCACGATCCCTGAACTACATTATTTTCCCTTACCCCATCCCTTGTGCAATGCAAAATACCCGAATAGATCCAGTCTAGATTTCCTCAGCTCATGTGGGATCGTGTTGAAGTTTAATGGAATTATTTGTTTCTGTCAGAATCATACATTTTCAGAGACGAAGCATTACCCAGGTTTTGAATTCATGAAAAGTCTGACTGGTGGTGTCGAATGAAATAGAAACAGAAACAACGTGAGCATAACATGTTAGGCTTCACATCAAGAAATAATAAATACAAGTAGTAGCATGCACGTCTTGTGTGTTGTCCAGTGCTGGACGCAAGTGGCAAGCCAGGGAGCAGCCTTCTCAAGGGGGCGGTCAAGTTCTACGGCAACTACGACGAGTGTCTGGAGACCAGCGTTACACTGATGGGCGGGGCCGGGGGATCGGGACGAGAGATACGGGGAGCTACTGCAACCTGGCCTTCACCCTGCCACAGTCCGTCCTGGACAAGACAGGTGCTTTGGACACGCCCATGCCTGTAAGATACAGTTTCTAGAAAGTGTGATGTAATAGTATGTTTTATTTGATTGCTGGTGCACTAAGTCACAGTTCAAGCAGTGAGATACTGCGGTGAGTGATACCATGAGCAACGCGTCACGATGACAAATGACATACAGTCAACCAAGGTCTTTGGACACTAGATATCTAGAAAAATAATAAGGTCTTCATCTTAACGTTGAGACTAAACGTTAAACAGGAAACATTCATCACTAGAATATCATTAGCCTTATGTACAAAATGCGTGTAGTGTGTTGGCAGTGGAGATGCAGCACCTGACTCCGGTATTTTGTAATATATCATCATGTACATATTTAGTATTTACCTGTGTATTGGGTTGTGTTTGTAGCTCCCTGCTGATTATGTCGCGGCACTGGAGTGGCACCTGTGTCTGCCGCAGTCTTGTAATGAGGAAACTGTCCACTTCGCCCTATCTTTCTGTGAGTACATGACCAAACGCTCTCTCATAACCATACGTTGATAGAGATGCACCAATTTGAGTCTGAGTGCCTTGTGATGTTTATTAGAATTACATTACAACATCCCTGTGACTGTACACCGACATCCTTACAACCGAATGTCCGTGTATTGTTTATGCTACTCGTGAGAGTTTTTTCCTAACGCGAATCCAGCTAGGGTAGGAAGGGGACGGCATTGGGTTGACAGAACTACATTGCTACGCAACATGGAAACACGGATGTGCCCATCCCGTCCTCGAAGCGTACAAACCATGTACAACAATATATATAAACACATATAAGTGCATGCCTATGTAGTAGACATGACGTCCAAACGCAAATTGTCTCATCCAGCCAGAATTTTGTTGTTTCTGCTTTTCACAAAATCTCTAACCGCATTTAGTTTCTATGGCATTATTGCTCCAGTTTTGTAACGACTTGCATATAATGAGATGTGACGATGTGGCGCTGACGAGCTTGGTCTGTTCGTAAGCCTGACACCAGCTGTATGTTGTAGTGCCCCTGGATGTCATCAACAGCAGCGTGTACAAAGTGCAGTGTTCACATGCCCAGGACCTCTCTCACGACACGGCCGCCATTACTGCAGTGTAAGTGGTCCAATCGAGCTGCTAATCACCCACTGAAACACAGTACTGGCTATGTGGAACAGCAGCACAGACTGAACCCTGGAAATGTTATAATACTGATAACATTAATGTCATTGTTTACCTACATCTATCGAAACAATAGCACATAAACACAAATGGAAATATACAAACAACAGCTGTGTATCTAGTTAATCACGATTAATTACTGACTATTGCTAAGTGCGGTGTGAAATACGAAACAAACAAACACAACTATCATCATGACCATCAGTTCAAGTTTTTATCTTTATGAGCCATGTTTAGAGGATCCTGCCTCAACTGAGGACTAGAACTCCAAATCTCCAAATTGCGGCCTGACCCTTGTGCATAAGGTTAAATCTTCCATTTTCAAAAGGACCAAACACTGCGTCAAATTACATTCATGGTCATCCCTGTCTCCATGCACTGAGCAGGAACACACGGTACTCGCTGACATACACGTATATTGAACAAGTTCACGTTTGGATGTTGAAGTGCGCTATTCAGTACGCATGGTACTCAGTCGGCCTCTCCGGTATCTCTGTCGCCATTAATGTTTGAACCGGTGATATTCTTGTGTGAAACAGATCTTCCTCAGTCACTGATAACCGTACATATATGGGTGGGGATCCGTGCATGCTGATATATTGCATGTCAGGGTTAGGATAATGGTTCCATAGTTGTGGGTGAGACGCCCGTGTCAGATAAATGGTTGTAATTTAATGTTAGTCGCGCGAATGAACAAAATACAACCTCTGTGCCAAAACTCTATGACTTAATGAGTGTTAATGAATGTTTCTAATCGACTGATCATTAAGATGGTACTTCTGACTCAGGGCTGTGCTCGGAGTCATTGTCCTCCTCGCAGTGCTCGGCACACTGTATGACGTTGTCTCTGGAGAGGTCACAAGAGTGAAAAGAAAACGTGTCCACAACGATGAATACGACGGGGATGTCATAGCAGAATTCGATAGTCCTCCACATACCAGCAAGACCAGTATCAACAACGGTATATCAATAGTGTCAATGAACGGGAAGCTGGTGGACCCTCCTCAAGACAGCGACAGCGTATCCACAACTACATTACCATACGAAGACTATGACGAGGATCAGGAAGGTAGGTGCATTACAAGTTGTTTCCTAGACGAATACCACTATATGTGGGAAGCTGTGTCACTTTCAGATGTGTTGTCCCATGGAACCCGGATGTGAGACTCACGAATGGCCCAATGGGCCATTATCACAATACCGGTTAGTCATGCAAAGCGAGTTATCCACTATCCAGAGCAGGTATGGATTTCTTGACTATTTTGGGGTTTTCCTTGTTTGTGATGACTCCTACGGGGTACACATGGCAAGGAAGCACATCACATGTTTTCACATAGAGAGTTGCTTAATACATGTAAAGAATTTAACATTGACGAGGAACGTAACAATGATGTCTTGAAGTCAGATGTTTCGAATGTACATGTATCTCGAAAGTATTGTCGGTTCTGAAATGTGGATTTTCCGACCAAAGACGGCCTACATATAGAAATTTGAATTTGACCAAGGCATTAACAGGTCAATTAGTGAAAGCACTCGTCGAACTATGCAAGCATCCAAAAAAATACTGTGATAACACAAACATAAATATGCTGAACTTCGTCTTGAACATATCATTTAGCTGCCATCAGACATGATTATATTACTTTCTTATGATCGATGCTTTGAATACAGTCACGTGTACAATACTGATAGTTTAAACTGGACTTCAGGGAAGACATTCATAGCAATGCATTCAGCCTTGATTCATGTTATGTATTTCTGTAACCGATGATCATGATAGCAACCCAGTGTAAGAAGACAACCGGTGGCCGACTATGCAGGTGGTACTGCACAGATGCTTTGAACACCCACCAACTAATGATCAAGTACACATGTACCTATCTTTTGCAGGTGTATGTAGACGGCTGTTGCTGTGTTTCTCCTTCAGTCGTAACACGGAGAAGATATTCGACACCAGCAGGAAAGAGGGTAGCCTGCGGTGTATTCACGGCATCCGGGTCCTCAGTATGGCGTGGGTGATTCTTGGACATATCATTGTCTACACCAGAGGCGTAACAGGTCTATATACCATGCATATCGTGTACTCTTTAAAGAAACCAACATACATGTAGTTGTTTATAATAATCCAACTTGATATTGTCCGTCGACACAGACGTTACCCCGATATTCGTGAAGTGATGGTGTACCTAAATTTGGATATATTTCTGAGTATTTCATTTTTTCTGCCTGGTTCAACTACCATGACCTACATGTTCGTTCAACCTAATGGGATGGATAAATGGTCACTTTTGTTTTTCAGACGAGAATGTCACGGAAGTTCTGAAGAAGGTGAAGGACTTCAGCATGCAGGCTGTGGTCAATGCGTCTCTAGCTGTCGACACGTTCTTCCTTATAGGGTACGTGATACCACTATTTCCTCTGTTACGTGAAGTTCTCTTCATATACATAGGTATATTCCTTCACACGGATACCAACAATCACCATGTGTTTTTCAGGGGATGTCTGGTATCCTTCTTGTTTCTGAGACAAGTCAAGAAAACCGGCAAGCTAACTGGAATGCAGATGGCCATGTATTATGTCCATCGCTTCTGGAGGTATGTGACAGATTGTGCTGACTCAGCTCGCATTTATCCTCTGTTAAAAGATAATGGTGATGTCACGCTGTTGCAGTTTACAGGGAAATTATAGATCAACTATAGCATGTGTTCAGGTGGGTAAAACCAATCCGGGGATTCCGGCAACACAAATTACGACCGCGAGGAAAAAGAAATTGAAACCCGATTCCATAAGTGGAAGCCACAAGCAATAAGGACGTCAGGCTGCAGTGGATGTCGTGTTAGGCTGCGGTGGATGTCGTATTTGGCTGCGGTGGATGTCGTGTTTGGCTGCGGTGGATGTCGTGTTTGGCTGCGGTGGATGTCGTGTTTGGCTGCGGAGGATGTCGTGTCAGGCTGTGGTGGATGTCGTGTTAGGGGTGGATGTGCGGTGGATGTCGTGTTTGGCTGCGGAGGATGTCGTGTCAGGCTGAGGTGGATGTCGTGTTTGGCTGCGTGCGGTGGATGTCGTGCGGTGGATGTCGGCTTGGCAGCGGTGGATGTCGTGTCAGGCTGCGGTGGATGTCGTGTCAGGCTGAGGTGGATGTCGTGTTTGGCTGCGGTGGATGTCGTGTTTGGCTGTGGTGGATGTCGTGTTTGCCTGTGGTGGATGTCGTGTTTGGCTGTGGTTGATGTCATGTTTGGCTGCGGAGGATGTCGTGTCAGGCTGAGGTGGATGTCGTGTTAGGCTGCGGAGGAAGTGGTGTTTGGGTGCGGTGGATGGATGTCATGTTAGGCTGCGGAGGATGTCGTGTCAGGCTGAGGTGGATGTCGTGTCAGGCTGCGGTGGATGTCGTGTTTGGCTGTGGTGGATGTCGTGTTTGTCTGCGGTGGATTTCGTGTCAGGCTGAGGATGATGTCGTGTTTGGCTGCGGTGGATGTCGTGTTTGGCTGCGGAGGATGTCGTGTTTGGCTGGTGGATGTCGTGTTTGGCTGCGGTGGATGTCGTGTTTGGCTGCGGTGGATGTCGTGTTTGGCTGCGGTGGATGTCGTGTTTGTTTGCTCGCTGCGGTGGATGTCGTGTCAGGCTGCTGTGGAGGATGGATGTCGTGTTAGGCTGCGGTGGATGTCGTGTTTGGCTGCGGTGGATGTCGTGTTTGGCTGCGGTGGGTGGATGTCGTGTTTGGCTGTGGTGGATGTCGTGTTTGGTGGATGTCGTGTTTGGCTGTGGAGGATGTCGTGTTTTGCGTGTTTGAATGTCGTGTCGGCTGCGGTGGATGTCGTGTTTGGCAGGCTGAGGTGGATGTCGTGTTTGGATGTCGCGGAGGAAGTGGTGTTTGGGTGCGGTGGATGGATGTCATGTTAGGCTGCGAGGAGGATGTCGTGGTCAGGCTGGATGTCGTGGATCAGGCTGTGGTGGATGTCGTGTCAGGCTGCGGAGGATGGATGTCGTGTTTGGATGTGGTGGATGTCGTGTTTGGCTGGATGTCGGTGGATTTCGGTCAGGCTGAGGATGATGTCGTGTTTGGCTGCGGTGGATGACGTGTTTGGCTGCGGTGGATGTCGTGTTTGGCTGCGGTGGATTTCGTGTCAGGCTGAGGATGATGTCGTGTTTGGCTGCGGTGGATGACGTGTTTGGCTGCGGTGGATGTCGTGTTTGGCTACTGTGGGTGGATGTCGTGTTAGGCTGCGGAGGATGTCGTGTCAGGCTGTGGTGGATGTCGTGTTTGGGTGCGGTGGATCACGTGTTTGGCTGCGGTGGGTGGATGTCGTGTTTAGCTGTGGTGGATGTCGTGTTTGGCTGCGGTGGATGTCGTGTTAGGCTGCGGAGGATGTCGTGTTTTGCTCCAGTGAATGTCGTGTCAGGCTGCGGTGGATGTCGTGTCAGGCTGAGGTGGATGTCGTGTTTGGGTGCGGTGGATAACGTGTTTGGCTGCGATGGGTGGATGTCGTGTCAGGCTGCGGTAGATGTTGTGTTTGGCTGATGTGGATGTCGTGTGTGGCTGCGGTTGATGTCGTGTCAGGCTGAGGTTGAAGTCGTGTTTGGCTGCGGTGGATGTCGTGTTTGGCTGCGGTGGATGTCGTGTTTAGCTGCGGTGGATGTCGTGTTTGCCTGTGGTGGATGTCGTGTTTGGCTGTGGTGGATGTCGTGTTTGCCTGCGGTGGATGTCGTGTTTGGAAGTTGGGGCTTGTTGACTGAGAAGTTCGTCGATCCTTCTTCCGGATACAACAAGCTTGTGGGATTTCGCCATTACATAGACAATATATTACGCGTAGTCTCTCCAATAGAATGAAATGTCCCTGTATCTGCTGTGATAGACATGGTTTGATGTTTAACCTGCTTTGTCATCATGGTCTGTTCTGAATACTAAACAAAACATATCAAGGATGCAGTTTGTTTACGTTGAGGTATAGTATTCGTGTAAAAAATGCAGTTATTTGTATGTAGACTTATATGTTGCCTCGCAGACTCAGCCCCGTTTACCTGGTGATCCTCATGACCTACACCTGCCTCTTCAAGTACTTGCTAGATGGCCCCCTCAAGTCGGACGGCCTTAACTATGACAATGCCCACTGCGCGTCCAACTGGTGGACAAATGCCCTCTACATCAACAACGTGTACAAGTCGGGAGAAGGAGTAAGTTGGTCATGTGTAGATCTGATTAAAAGGTCATTTAACTAGCTTTCTTTGTTGGTTTTCATTGCCAAACACCGTAATGCTTCAGCTATGACTGTAATCTGAGTACAATACTCTCGAGCCGACAATCCAATGATGGACATCATGAAGTAATTTGGATACGACCACGTGACAACCCGATCCCGTATTGTTTGCTGAAAATCTGTTCTAAGCAAGATCTTTCCAGGGGCTTTTCTCTACTGTTTACACAGGCCATTGACATTGAAGAGATGTAAATCAGCTGTTGATGCTCCATTTCAGTGCATGAGGTGGACGTGGTTCATGGCTGACGACATGCAGTTCTACATTATAGCTCCCCTGACGCTGGTGCCTATTGTCATGGGGTACGTATTGTCTGACGCCTCACACACCAAACTGACGCCCCGCACACCAAACTGACGCATCACACACCAGACTGACGCCTCACAACCAGACTGACGCCCAACAGCCCCGAGTGACTCCCCACACTCCAGAGTGACGACTCACACTCCAGAGTGACACCCCACGCTCCAGACTGACGACTCACACACCAGACTGACCCATCTCACACACCAGACTGACGCCACACTCTGACACACCAGACTGACGCCTCACACCCCAGAGTCACACACCAGACTGACGCTTCACACCAGACTGACCAGACTGACCTCACACTCCAGACTGACACATCCACACCAGACTGACGCCTCACACACCAGACTGACCCATCTGACGACTCACACACCAGACTGACCCATCACACCAGACTGACGACTCACACCAGACTGACAGCTCACACCAGACTGACCCATCACACACCAGACTGACGCCTCACACACCAGACTGACCCATCACTCACACACCAGACTGACGCCTCACACACCAGACTGACCATCACACACCAGACTGACACACCAGACTGACATCACACACCAGACTGACGCTCACACACCAGACTGACCCATCACACACCAGACTGACCCATCACACACACTGACAGACTGACTGACCCATCACACACCAGACTGACGCCTCACACCAGACTGACTGACGCCTCACGCATCACACACCAGACTGACGCCATCACACACCACCACACACCAGACTGACCCATCACACACCAGACTGACGCCATCACACACCAGACTGACCATCACACACCAGACTGACGCACACACCAGACTGACGCATCACACCAGACTGACGCTCTCACCCAGAATGACCTCAGACTGACCCATCACACACCAGACTGACACACCAGACTGACTCACACCAGACTGACGACTCACACACCAGACTGACCCATCACACACCAGACTGACCCCTCACACACCAGACTGACCCATCACACACCAGACTGACGCATCACACACCAGACTGACCCATCACACACCAGACTGACGCCTCACACACCAGACTGACTGACCCTCACACACCAGACTGACGCATCACACACCAGACTGACCCATCACACGCATCACACCAGACACTGACGCTCTCACACAGACTGACCCAGACTGACGACTCACACACCAGACTGACTGCCACACACCACCACTGACCCATCACACACCAGACTGACGCCTCACACACCAGACTGACACACCAGCCTCACACACCAGACACTGATCCACAAGACTGACGCCTCACACACCAGACTGACCCATCACACACCACGACTCACACTCCAGACTGACCTCACACACCAGACTGACCCCACACACCAGACTGACCGCTCACACCAGACTGACCGCTCACAGACGACGCACCAGACTGACCCATCACACACCACCAGACTGACTGACTGACCCATCACACACCAGACTGACCCTCACACACACCAGACTGACCTCACACACCAGACTGACCCATCACACACCAGACTGACCCATCACACACTGACACACAGACTGACCGCTCACACACAGACTGACCTGACACACCAGACTGACCCATCACACACCAGACCCATCACACCCACTGACGCCTCACACCAGACTGACGACCCATCACACACCACTGACCAGACTGACCGCATCACACACCAGACTGACCCTCACACACACCAGACTGACGCCACACAGACTGACACACCAAACTGACATATCACACACCAGACTGACCCATCACACACCAGACTGACCCATCACACACCAGACTGACGCATCACACTCCAGACTGACCCATCACACACCAGACTGACATCACACACCAGACTGACCGCTCACACACCAGACTGACCCATCACACACCAGACTGACGCCTCACTCACACCTCAGACTGACCCATCACACACAAGACCGACGGCTCACACACCAGACTGATGCCTCACACACACTGATGCCTCACACACCAGACTGACGCATCACACTCCAGACTGACGCATCACACACCAGACTGACGCATCACACACCAGACGGATTGCAGTAACAATTGACTGCATTGAGAAAACTAGTAACAAACTGACCTCTGAGAATTCATTAACAGTAAGCTATTCAATCAAGCTAACACAGGGTCTACGTAAGTATTTACTTCATGGATCAGTATGAGATACGTGAGTGAGTGAGTGAGTGAGTGAGTTTAGTTTTACGCCGCACTCAGCGATATTCCAGCTACATGGTTGCGGTCTGTAAATACTAGAGCCTGGACCAGACAATCCAGTGATCAACAGTATGAGCATCGATCTGAGCAAGTGGGAACCGATGACATATGTCAACCAAGTCAACGAGTCTGACCACCCGATCCCGTTAGTCGCCTCGACATGCATGGGTTACTGAAGGCAACATTCTAACCCGGACCTTCACAGGTAATGAGATACGTAAAACAGGCGAATATACATAGCCAGCAGCACTGATAGTACATCTGTCAACTCTCATAAACAAATAGATTTATCAAACGTTCCTGCAAATGTAATGACGTAATAATACAAGGCAATCCATACGGATATGAAGGTGCTCCTTCTCACACTGTGTACACGGACTGTCAGTCAGGTTTTTCAAACAGATAGCATGTTTACTGAGGATAATGTGGCCCCCTCCACACGCTGCCAGTAGCCCTTTCTTCGAAGATGCTGTGATCGAGGTTATAAGAATCCAGGCCTTAGCAAACATCTCACAAAGTCTAATAGCAACTATGTGTAAGAAATTATTAAAAGGTTGTGTCCGATGGAAATCCCTATTTTGACATATATCCCCATTGTCTTTTTCCAGTGAACACTTGACTTTCCTTTGGATGTGTTTGGGACTGGGGCCACAGGTTGGGGAAGGATACTTTCAGGTATTCACAACACCTGATATCATTATTTTTATCAGCAGAGATTGCTTATGTTTATGGAAATAGGTCTATGTAGTTACCCTTCCGCTGCAGGCTGCAAGCGTTAGGAACCATCCTGATGGTGCTGCTCGTGTTTGTCCAGATAGCCACATACGCTTACAAGGAGTACTCTGTGGACGGAGCACTTCTCAAGTACGTAGACAAAAAAATCAGATCGTTTTAAATATCCACTGATATCGTATTTCCCTCTCTGTTATGCTACGCCTTGTGTAATTGGTTCCTGAATATCGTTTCAGAAATATTCTCTATGATCAATTAACAGATGGAATACCTTCGTGCTGAGAGTGATCGAAAACTTTAAGATATTATTTCAATACAACTGTGACTAGACTTTAAAAAGTAGGAACTTTGTATTAAAATAAGCGTCTTCCCTTGTGGGTTCTCGCGTGTTACTTAGCAACTAGGAAAATGTACGGAACCACTCAAAGTTGAAAAAGATGTTTTCTAAGCGTGTTTTTGAACAGGAACGATGAGCAGTTTATGCGTGAGATCTACTTCATGCCGTGGTGCCGTGTCGGCGTGTTTGCCATCGGTCTACTGCTCGGCTTTGTTCTCAACAAGACAAAGTGTAAAGTTCATATTCCCAAGGTAAATGTATCCTCTGTTGCATTTCGTGACATCTCGCCGTGTCTTGGTAAAATACATAGTGTAATATTACTATTTCAACACTGTCGAATGTCACTATGTACCAAAAGGCACTGTAAATGATCATGAGGATTTGTATCACCATAGATCTTATGAAATTCTGTAATCGTGGGATATGGACTCTCACTGTAGTGTAGCATTCTGTCTTTACGTTCGCCGTTGTTTAAATGTAGCGCTCTGTGTTTTAGTTCACCCTCACTGTAAATTAGCATAATGTCTTGCCGTTCACCCTCTCTGTAATGTAGCGTTCGCTCGTCACGCCAGTTCGATTCCCCACATGAGTACAATGTGTGAAACTCATTTCTGGTATAACACGCTGTGAAATTGCTGGGATATTGTTTAAGGCCGCGTAAAACTGAACTCACTCACTCACTATAATGTAGGAGTTTACGTTTTAGTTCCCCGTCACTGTAATGTAGGAATCTGTGTTTCAGATCTCTCAAGCTGTAACTCAGAGTTCTGTGTTGCAATTCACCTTTACATAGTGTGGTGGCAGATCGGGCTGGTCGTATTGTGACGTTCTCTGTTGCAGTTGGCCCTTGTGATAGGGTGGCAGATCGTTCTGGTTGTATTGTGACGTTCTCTGTTGCAGTTCGCCCTTGTGATAGGTGGCAGATCGTTCTGGTTGTATTGTGACGTTCACTGTTGCAGTTGGCCCTTGTGATAGGGTGGCAGATCGTTCTGGTTGTATTGTGACGTTCTCTGTTGCAGTTGGCCCTTGTGATAGGGTGGCAGATCGTTATGGTTGTATTGTGACGTTCTCTGTTGCAGTTGGCCCTTGTGATAGGTGGCAGATCGTTCTGGTTGTATTGTGACGTTCTCCGTTGCAGTTGGCCCTTGTGATAGGGTGGCAGATCGTTCTGGTTGTATTGTGACGTTCTCTGTTGCAGTTGGCCCTTGTGATAGGGTGGCAGATCGTTCTGGTTGTAATATGACGTTCTCTGTTGCAGTTCGCCCTTTTGATAGGATGGCAGATCGGTCTGGTTGTATTGTGACGTTCTCTGTTGCAGTTCGCCCTTGTGATAGGGTGGCAGATCGTTCTGGTTGTATTGTGACGTTCTCTGTTGCAGTTCGCCCTTTTGATAGGGTGGCAGATCGGTCTGGTTGTATTGTGATGTTCTCTGTTGCAGTTGGCCCTTGTGATAGGGTGGCAGATCGTTCTGGTTGTAATATGACTTTCTCTGTTGCAGTTGGCCCTTGTGATAGGGTGGCAGATCGTTCTGGTTGTATTGTGACGTTCTCTGTTGCAGTCGTTCTGGTTGTATTGTGACGTTCTCTGTTGCAGTTCGCCCTTGTGATAGGATGGCAGATCGGTCTGGTTGTATTGTGACGTTCTCTGTTACAGTTCGCCCTTGTGATAGGGTGGCAGATCGGTCTGGCCCTCGGGCTGCTATGCACGTACATCACGTGGAGTGAGTGGAAGGTGGGTCACATCAGCTGGGACAGAGACACGCGCCTCACCCACGAGACTCTCTCAAGGCCATGCTGGGCCCTCTTCGTGTCATGGATCATATTTGTGTGCACCACGGGCCATGGAGGTAAGCAGGGTGTGGGAGCGGTACACAGTTAGAAGAAGAATCAGGAAGTGTAATATAGTTCTTCTTTGACAGGGCAAATCCTGTGTTTATGTGGTTGGTATTAATATTTGCCAAATTTTCGGATTTCAAAATTCTCAAATCGACACGTTACCTTGGCCATGCAACAGCATAAATGCAAACTGGCCTCCTATTATTATGACATGTATTGAGACAGTGGCTGTTGCCAATGGTGTCTTCTCAGTAACTGTAAAAGGGTTGTTTCTGTGACCAGGAATCGTGGACCGCCTGCTGTCATGGGGGGCGTGGCTGCCCCTGGGGCGACTGACATACGGGGCCTACTTGATCCACCCGATTCTCATCACGTACACCGACTTCTCGAAGAGAGCTCTTGTCTATGTCGACTTCGTTTTCATCGTGAGTCTCAGCGGTCATGTCTCGAATATTCCAACATCAGCCATTCTAATGTTCTCTGTGAAACCCTCTAAGGCCTCCGCGTATACAGCCACGGTAATGTGTAAAGTAGTGTATACAGTGATTGGCTATGATTATAACTGTTGTTTGACAATATGATATTGTTACTTGACTGTACTTGTTGGAAAGTGGAAAATCAGTGAACAGTATCATTTAAGTGACACATCGCTGTCCGTTGTGAGGGTCAGTTACAACTGCTTCTTCAGGAAGTCACGATAATTTGTAAAACTTCTGTGTAATTAACACGGGAACCGCTACCGTCAGTACAGTCACTTAAGTGAGTTTCAACGTGTGTTCCATCACAGATTAAACTACAGAACGATAACTTGAACATGTTCAACCTTAAATTTGCGATTGCAAGAAATCCCGTAGGACAAGTTAGCACAAGACAATAGCCATTATTAGTCTTCATATATTGATATATCATATCAGATCACCTTTATATCTACCTGTTATCTGTCTTTGTTTCAGGCGTATCAGTTTATTGGGACGTTTGTGGTGTCTTATGCCATTTCGTTCGTGTTCAGCGCCCTGGTAGAGGCCCCCACACTGGCCCTGGAGGCTGTGGCGCTGGGACGATACAGAGGCGTACGCTGATAACTCTAGCACATCCTAATCCAATGACCTCACACCCCTGCACACCCTCATCCTCCTAACACCCGAACAAAACGCTCGTATCCCACCTGCCCGAAACCCTCACAGATTCCCACCCGAACCCCAAATAAAATGTACACCCCACATCGCAGTGGACAAAACTAGCGCTGGGACGCATGGAAAAGAACATTACATCCAATACCACACCCACACCCTCCCGTACCCCAGGAGACAATGGCGCTGGAACGCTGAAGTGGAGCCTGAACTGTTTCCCTGGGATGCTACGAATGTGTCCGATGAAGTTTAGCCGCCTTCCAGGATTCTTGCTATGCCCGTCATAGTGAGTTTCAACGTAACCGAATGATAGCTTCACGTTAAGTGGTGCATATGCTATAAAGAACACATAGTATGATGTGAAGTGATGCATATGCTGTGAAGAACACATAATATGATGTGAAGTGGTGCATATGCTGTGAAGAACACATAATATGATGTGAAGTGGTGCATATGCTGTGAAGAACATTTAGTATGATGTGAAGTGGTGCATATGCTGTAACACATAGTATGATGTGAATTGGTGCATATGATGTAACACATAGTATGGTGTGAAGTGGTGCGTATGATGTAACACATAGTATGGTGTGAAGTGGTGCATATGATGTAACACATAGTATGGTGTGAAGTGGTGCATATGCTGTAACACATAGTATGGTTTGAAGTGGTGCATATGCTGTAACACATAGTATGGTGTGAAGTGGTGCATATGCTGTAACACATAGTTTGGTGTGAAGTGGTGCATACGCTGTAACACATAGTTTGGTGTGAAGTGGTGCATATGCTGTAACACATAGTTTGGTGTGAAGTGGTGCATATGCTGTAACACATAGTATGGTGTGAAGTGGTGCATATGATGTAACACATAGTTTGATGTGGACTCTGCATATACATTTAATGGCGTATTTTCTATGTATGTATAACACAACTGAAATGTGCTCGTGACGCTGAGTGGGTATATTATTTACCTCTGCACCATGTCTACTACACTATGTTTTGATATCCTTGAACAACCAGTAAACGACTGTGCTCATGTAAATCAATGGCGTCGATATTATTAATTTGAAAAAATGAAACATCGTCGGTAATGATGGCACAATGTATCAGTACGATGACACTACATTGAGGTACGATGAAACATCGTCGAGTATGACGGTACAATGTATCGGTACGATGACACTACATTGAGGTACGATGAAACATCGTCGGGTATGACGGTACAATGTATCAGTACGATGACACTACATTGAGGTACGATGAAACATCGTCGGGCATGACGGTACAATGTATCCGTACGATGACACTACATTGAGGTACGATGAAACATCGTCGGGTATGACGGTACAATGTATCAGTACGATGACACTACATTGAGGTACGATGAAACATCGTCGAGTATGACGGTACAATGTATCGGTACGATGACACTACATTGAGGTACGATGAAACATCGTCGGGTATGACGGTACAATGTATCGGTACGATGACACTACATTGAGGTACGATGAAACATCGTCGGGTATGACGGTACAATGTATCCGTACGATGACACATTATTGAGCTATGCTGAAACATCGTCGGGTATGACGGTACAATGTATCCGTACGATGACACTACATTGAGGTACGATGAAACATCGTCGGGTATGACGGTACAATGTATCGGTACGATGACACTACATTGAGGTACGATGAAACATCGTCGGGTATGACGGTACAATGTATCGGTACGATGACACTACATTGAGGTACGATGAAACATCGTCGGGTATGACGGTACAATGTATCCGTACGATGACACTACATTGAGGTATGATGAAACATCGTAGGGGTATGACACAATGTATCGTCACTACATTGAGGTATGATGAAACAACGTCGGGTATGACGGTACCGTCGGGTATGACCGTCGGGTATGACGGTACAATGTATCCGTACGATGACACTACATTGAGGTACGATGAAACAACGTCGGGTATGACGGTACAATGTATTGATACGATGACACATTATTGAGCTATGATGAAACATCGTCGGGTATGACGGTACAATTTATAGATACGATGACACTACACTGAGGTACGATGAAACAACGTCGGGTATGACGGTATAATGTATAGATACGATGACACATTATTGAGGTATGATGAAACAACGTCGGGTATAACGGTACAATGTATAGATACGATGACACATTATTGAGGTATGATGAAACAACGTCGGGTATGACGATACAATGTTGTATGATGACACAATATTCAGGTATGATGACGGTACAATGTATAGGTACGATGAAACATTATTGAGGTATGATGAAACAACGTCGGGTATGACGATACAATGTTGTATGATGACACAGTATTGAGGTATGATGAAACAACGTCGGGTATGACGGTACAATGTATCGGTACGATGACACTACACTGAGGTACGATGAAACAACATCGGGTATGACGGTACAATGTATCGGTACGATGACACTACATTGAGGTATGATGAAAGAACGTCGGGTATGACGGTAGCGTCGGGTATGACCGTCGGGTATGACGGTACAATGTATCAGTACGATGACACTACATTGAGGTACGATGAAACAACGTCGGGTATGACGGTACAATGTATTGACACGATGTCACATTATTGAGCTATGATGAAACATCGTCGGGTATAACGGTACAATGTATAGATGCGATGACACATTATTGAGGTATGATGAAAGAACTTCGGGTATGATGGTACAATGTCTAGATACGATGACACATTATTAAGGTATGATGAAAGAATGTCGGGTATGACGGTACAATGTATAGGTACGATGAAACTACACTGAGGTATGATGAAACAACGTCGGGTATGACGATACAATGTTGTATGATGACACAATATTGAGGTATGATGAAACAACGTCGGGTATGACGGTACAATGTATAGGTACGATGAAACATTATTGAGGTATGATGAAACAACGTCGGGTATGACGATACAATGTTGTATGATGACACAGTATTGAGGTATGATGAAACAACGTCGGGTATGACGGTACAATGATCGGTACGATGACACTACACTGAGGTACGATGAAACAACATCGGTATGACGGTACAATGTATCGGTACGATGACACTACATTGAGGTATGATGAAAGAACGTCGGGTATGACGGTAGCGTCGGGTATGACCGTCGGGTATGATGGTACAATGTATCAGTACGATGACACTACATTGAGGTACGATGAAACAACGTCGGGTATGACGGTACAATGTATTGACACGATGTCACATTATTGAGCTATGATGAAACATCGTCGGGTATAACGGTACAATGTATAGATGCGATGACACATTATTGAGGTATGATGAAAGAACTTCGGGTATGATGGTACAATGTCTAGATACGATGACACATTATTAAGGTATGATGAAAGAATGTCGGGTATGACGGTACAATGTATAGGTACGATGAAACTACACTCAGGTATGATGAAACAACGTCGGGTATGACGATACAATGTTGTATGATGACACAATATTGAGGTATGATGAAACATCGTCGGGTATGACGGTACAATGTATAGATACGATGAAACATTATTGAGGTATGATGAAACAACGTCGGGTATGACGATACAATGTTGTATGATGACACAGTATTGAGGTATGATGAAACAACGTTAGGTATGACGGTACAATGTATCGGTACGATGACACTACATTGAGGTACGATGAAACATAGTCGGGTATGACGGTACAATGTATCCGTACGATGACACATTATTGAGCTATGCTGAAACTTCGTCGGGCATAACGGTACAATGTATCCGTACGATGACACTACATTGAGGTACGATGAAACATCGTCGGGTATGACGGTACAATGTATCGGTACGATGACACTACATTGAGGTACGATGAAACATCGTCGGGTATGACGGTACAATGTATAGGTACGATGACACTACATTGAGGTACGATGAAACATCGTCGGGTATGACGGTACAATGTATCGGTACGATGACACTACATTGAGGTACGATGAAACATCGTAGGGGTATGACGGTACAATGTATCCGTACGATGACACTACATTGAGGTATGATGAAACAACGTCGGGTATGACGGTACCGTCGGGTATGACCGTCGGGTATGACGGTACAATGTATCAGTACGATGACACTACATTGAGGTACGATGAAACAACGTCGGGTATGACGGTACAATGTATTGATACGATGACACATTATTGAGCTATGATGAAACATCGTCGGGTATGACGGTACAATTTATAGATACGATGACACTACACTGAGGTACGATGAAACAACGTCGGGTATGACGGTATAATGTATAGATACGATGACACATTATTGAGGTATGATGAAACAACGTCGGGTATAACGGTACAATGTATAGATACGATGACACATTATTGAGGTATGATGAAACAACGTCGGGTATGACGATACAATGTTGTATGATGACACAATATTCAGGTATGATGACGGTGCAATGTATAGGCACGATGAAACATTATTGAGGTATGATGAAACAACGTCGGGTATGACGATACAATGTTGTATGATGACGCAGTATTGAGGTATGATGAAACAACGTCGGGTATGACGGTACAATGTATCGGTACGATGACACTACACTGAGGTACGATGAAACAACATCGGGTATGACGGTACAATGTATCGGTACGATGACACTACATTGAGGTATGATGAAAGAACGTCGGGTATGACGGTAGCGTCGGGTATGACCGTCGGGTATGATGGTACAATGTATCAGTACGATGACACTACATTGAGGTACGATGAAACAACGTCGGGTATGACGGTACAATGTATTGACACGATGTCACATTATTGAGCTATGATGAAACATCGTCGGGTATAACGGTACAATGTATAGATGCGATGACACATTATTGAGGTATGATGAAAGAACTTCGGGTATGATGGTACAATGTCTAGATACGATGACACATTATTAAGGTATGATGAAAGAATGTCGGGTATGACGGTACAATGTATAGGTACGATGAAACTACACTGAGGAATGATGAAACAACGTCGGGTATGACGATACAATGTTGTATGATGACACAATATTGAGGTATGATGAAACAACGTCGGGTATGACGGTACAATGTATAGATACGATGAAACATTATTGAGGTATGATGAAACAACGTCGGGTATGACGATACAATGTTGTATGATGACACAGTATTGAGGTATGATGAAACAACGTTAGGTATGACGGTACAATGTATCGGTACGATGACACTACACTGAGGTACGATGAAACAACATCGGGTATGACGGTACAATGTATCGGTACGATGACACATTATTGAGCTATGCTGAAACATCGTCGGGCATGACGGTACAATGTATCCGTACGATGACACTACATTGAGGTACGATGAAACATCGTCGGGTATGACGGTACAATGTATCGGTACGATGACACTACATTGAGGTACGATGAAACATCGTCGGGTATGACGGTACAATGTATAGGTACGATGACACTACATTGAGGTACGATGAAACATCGTCGGGTCGGGTATGACGGTACAATGTATCCGTACGATGACACTACATTGAGGTACGATGAAACATCGTAGGGTATGACGGTACAATGTATCGGTACGATGACACATTGAGGTATGATGAAACAACGTCGGGTATGACGGTACCGTCGGGTATGACCGTCGGGTATGACGGTACAATGTATCCGTACGATGACACTACATTGAGGTACGATGAAACAACGTCGGGTATGACGGTACAATGTATTGATACGATGACACATTATTGAGCTATGATGAAACATCGTCGTCGGGTATAACGGTACAATGTATATAGATACGATGACACTACACTGAGGTATGATGAAAGAACGTCGGCATGATGGTACAATGTCTAGATACGATGACACATTATTAAGGTATGATGAAAGAATGTCGGGTATGACGGTACAATGTATAGGTACGATGAAACTACACTGAGGTATGATGAAACAACGTCGGG